AAATGGAATTGATAGAAACTGCAAAACACAGCTTTTACAGCATACCTCTAACAGCCCGGCCATGGCATGTATGTATTCCTGGGAGAGAAAAACACAATTGCAGTGATTATTTCAAGCAAGCTCACCAAAACTCAAGAAGATGAGCTCGTCAAAGTTCTCCAGTCTTACAAGCAAGCATTGGGGTGGATCATCTCAGACATTAAGGGAATAAGCCCTCAATTTGCATGCATCGCATTTTATGGGAAATAGAAACTGAACTTGTTCATCAACCCCAATTCTGCTTGAACCCGGTGGTGTTAAATTTTGTGAAAGCTGAGGTCCTGAAGCTTCTGGACATGAATGCAAACGGTGAGCAAAGGAAACTACAAATTCAAGAACTACGAAAAAGATGGGAAGGGCCTTTTGAAGTCATCAAGGTCTGTGTGCATGGGGCTATTGAGATTCGAAGTCCGTCGAGCTTGAAGTCTTTCATAGTCAACGGACACCGACTTAAGACATATCACGAGAACTTCCAGCCTGAGCATGAACAGGGAGTGGGTCTCGAGGACCCCATTTATTCTGAATAAATCGAGAGCTTCGTGTCGAGCCAACGATGATATAAAAAGGTGCTTGTTGGGAGGCATCCCAATTTTTATTGCTTTATTATAGATTTTTTTTTTTCATTTACTCTGTTATTTCTCTAGTTTTGTTTAGGAATTGAAGTGGTTTAAGGTAGACACGATTTTTTGATGGCATGGGCGAACCACATACACGTTATCTGATAGATTTTTAAGTCGTGCCCAGGCCTTAATATAATTTGTTTTTGTTACTGATACTTTTTCTGTTCTCTGTGGCAGGAATTTTGCTCGAACATTGGGACTGCTGGTGTTGGGCTTGAACTGACATGACCATGTCATTAGAAACCTGGAACTTTTTCCACAGCAATCTGGACTTACTACATAATAATGAATCATAAGAGCTTTAGTGCAGATCTGGAAGATTTTTGAGGAAATTAAAGGTTATTCATGCATGCTACCTGGATAAAATTTTGTGAGTTTCTATGTCTTGCATTACATAATATTATTTGAAATGTGGTCAAGAGTTTTTGTCAGAGTTTTGAGGTTTGTTTAAATGGTATTGAGTCTTGTTCGTTGTTTTTCTTGTGGTCGTTTTCAATTCATTTATGCCAATTCTCTAGAACAACCTTCTTCTTATATCAGCACACTTGTTTTATTTGAACCCTTGGTACTACATGATGATGAATACTACTTGATGATTATGTGTGGAGACATATGGAATTAACACTTGGTTATGACCCTCTTTTTGGTGAGATTTGAGCTTATGAGCATATTTTCAATATCAAGCTCCTTTTTCTTGAATGTGTGATGTCTCGACTAGTTGATTTTTCTAGAACTTGCTTTGCTATACATGTCTATGTGTACACCTTTGATGAAATTGGATGCATGAAATCAAAATAAGGGTACTTAGGACTCATTTTCTATTCATAGCCTTGCTTTTGAAACCTACCTTTCTTCATAAACCACTAGTAAACCCCTTTGAGCCTTAGACCTTTTTATTTTTGATTTATAACCACATCATAAGCTATAATATCATTTTCTTGATGCCATCTTTTGAACCTTGGATCGAATCAGTTATATAAATTTCTCTTAGATGAAGAAGAGCTCATGGTATTGTGTATTTTGAGGTGGTCGTGCCTTGTACGTAGTATCGTTATCCGACGTAGGCTATTTTACTTTCCGTTTCGTATTAAAAAAAAATGAAAAAAGAAGCTGAAAAAGAAACAAAGCAAAAAAAAATGAAAACAGAAAAACTGAAAAAAAAAATCAAAAAAAAAGAGAAAAAAAGCAGGCATTGTGTACAGTTCTCTATTTTTATTTTTATTTATGTCGGTTGTTTATTGAGATAGCATGATCATCTTGTATTGAGCTTGGTTTATATGAGTTTGTGTGGTTGGTTCGATTCCGTTAGCCCTTCCCTTTCTTATCCCACCTTACCCTAAGCCTCACTACAACCTTATTTAACCCTTTGATTTTGTGTTTATTCTTATTCATTTTGGGTGATTGGACATGATATCTTTGCAAGCTTATGGTAAAAGTCTTCTATATCTTGACTTGAGCGTACACTTCACATTTAGCCTATACACTTTGAGTGAAACAGTGAATCTCGTGAGAAGTGTTGATTTCCATGTGTTTAAGTTACGTGGTTGTTGGGTATATTTCTCGTTAGTTGGTTGATGGGGACTCAAGTTTGACTTGTGTGCTGATGCTTGCTTTATGTTTTGATTTGGCATTGAATGATAGATGATGATTATGAGTTGAGATAATGGATTTGACTTGATGCTTGAGGACAAGCATCGTTTTAAGCGTGGGGATATTTGATAAGTCGAAAATACGCGCTACTTTTGCAATGTAATTGAGAAGATGTGTTGGATATTTGTGCTTAATTAATTTATTTTCGACCTTATCTTATAATTTCGATTGGAAACTACCATTGTTGGGATTTTGTGTGCAGTGATCGTTATAACCAACATGCCAGCAGTAGAACTTTGATGGACATGGCAATGTTGGCCTTCTAAGGAATAGACTATTACTACTACCCGTGCTGCGATTTATTTTGGAAGTGGGCCTATTATTGTTAGGCCCATTATTGCTACTAAAGGACAACCGTAATAGAAGCAACAGAGATCAGTTTTTGGGAAACCTACACACCACACGAAACAGAGGAGCCGTAAGGAGCAGAAGAATATCACGCGATCATCAACCTTAAAATTCTTTCTTCTCTTTTCTCTATTTTTCTTCTACACTTTTGCAAGACTTTATGGAAGCCCTGCGCGGCTATTTTTTTTTGCTTTGGTTGAATACGATTGAAACCCCGAACTTGATACTATGAGATCTAATTAGTTTTTATCTATTAATTCATATTTCGTATTAATTGTTTTGTGTGTTCATATTTATGATTTTGTGTTAGGATCGTAGTCTGATCAACTATTGTCTTACGCACTTAATCTATTGTTTGGTAGATATTGAGTCGGATTTAGATGATTTATTTATCGTAAGAAGCAACTGAGTATGGTAATTGACCAGATTTAGGCGTTATCATTCGTAGGCAAAATAATAATACAAGTTAGCATTTAACGGATTAGTTATTTGTTGCTTGTGTTGTCGGGCTCCACTTCTTAATGCTATTGCTAGGATAATTTTGCACGATGTTGGGATTTGCCTAGTAATAAGGGTTGTGTAGGAGGATTTATTTTGCATGGCCAATTTAGGAGTCAGAATTCATCATTCAACGGCATCTACGTATTTATGAATTGATAATTTTTGCATCAAGGATCAGTAGAATAATTTGGGGTGGAAATCAATTCAACCGGAGCACTTTACCTATATATTCATCTTCATCTTGCTGTTATTTTTGAGTCTTTTATTTAATAATCTTTTACCAATACCTTTTTCATTTTCTTGTTAATTAGATAATTAGGGTTATAAATCAATTCTCCCCCATATTAATCACATAGTTACATTCATTTAATTAAATTATTCCCCGTGGATACGATCCTTTCTCACACTACTACATATTTTTAAGCAAGGTTAATTTGGATGCCTACGACAGCATGACCAATCTCAGTTGTGAATACCATTTATATCTTATAAGGAACCAACAATGTAATCTTCTGTGTGACTACTAACAGACTACATTGTCTTTAATATAAGATAATTGGACATTTAGCATACAAGCAATCATAATGCAACAATGTGAAAAACATTTATTTCAGTCAAATGGGAAATCGAATAATACAATCCAAAAGCTCACATAAAAGTTTGCTTTACAGTACTCCAACAATCTCCCACTTATACTAAAGCTAAACTTTTAGTATATAAACACATGCCATAACAATTCTTCCACTTATACTCAAAGTCTAGCTGCAACACATCGTAAACCAAGACCCTCTACGTGTTTCTCGAAGACATTGACAGTCAGAGTCTTCGTGAAAGGATCAGCTAGGTTATCCGATGATGCTACCTTCGTCACAACCACATCTCCTCGCTTTACGATCTCCCGTATGAGGTGGTACATTCTCTCAATGTGGTTACTGGCCTTGTGTGCTCGGGGTTCTCTCGAGTTTGCGACTGCACCAACGTTGTCACAATAAATTGTGATGCACCTAGGCACACTCAAAGATACCCCTAAGTCCAATAAGAAGCTTCTGAGCCAAACAGCCTCCTTTGTTGCTTCTGAAGCAGCAACGTATTCGTCTTCCATGGTAGAATCTGCGATGCATTTCTACTTCACACTCCTCCATGAGATCGCTCTGCCTCCCATCATAAATACATAACCCGAGGTCGACTTTCTCTTATCTCGATCAGCTTGGAAATCAGAATCTGTGTAACCCAAAGGAGTTAGACCGTCTGATGGTAAACAAGCATATAATCTCGAGTTCTTTTCAGATACTTGAGAATATGCTTCACCGCAGTCCAGTGTCATTGACCAGGGTTAGACTGATATCTCGCAACCATGCCAACCGCATAGCAAATATCAGGTCTCGTGCACAGCATGGCATACATAAGGCTTCCTACAGCCGAAGCATAAGGAACCTTAGCCATTTGCTCTATCTCCTTTTGTGTCTTCGAACACATTGATCAAATCCATAGGACTTAATCACCTCGTCAAAGCGAATGTTCCAAGACCTAGAAGCTTGTTTTAGTCCATAAAGAGACTTCTTTAGCTTCCATACTCGATGCTCTTGGCCTTTCTTCACATAACCCTCGGGTTGCTGCATATAGATGTCTTCATCCAAGTTTCCGTTAAGGAAAGCTGTCTTGACATCCATTTGCCAAACTTCATAGTCCATGTGACTTGCTATGGATAAAAGAATCCGGATCGACATAAGCATGGCTACCGGTGAAAAGGTCTCATCATAATCGATTCCCTCTTTCTAAGTGAAACCCTTTGCAACCAACCGTGCTTTGAACGAAATAACCTTCCCGTCAGATCCTCTCTTACGCCTATAGACCTATTAGCACACAATGGCTTTCTTGCCTTCAGGAAGGTCCCTAAGGTCGTATACATCCATAACATCAATAGATTCAATCTCAGAATCCATAGATTTCTGCCAAGATTCTGCATCTACGTCTTGGATTTCCTCATTGTAGGTCCAGGGGTCACTATCATGCTCGTCACTTGGAATGAAGTCGGAGGACTCTCCCACAAACATGAAATGATCGGGATGACGAACAACCCTCTCACTACGACGAGGCAATTTAGGTGTAAATACATTAGAGTGAACACGTTGTGTAGTCTCTTGTGGTATATCCACTTGCACACTCGGTATGCTATTGTCTTCCGCCAACTCATTTAGAATAATCTCACCCTTGGACTTATTCTCACTCATATAGTCTTCCTCTAAAAATCGGGCATTGGTGCTAACCACTACCCTTTGATCTTTAGGACTAAAAAAGTAACCACCTCTTTTTCCCTTTGGGTAACCTACAAACAACTGTACTTCTGTTCTAGGTGCCAACTTATCAGCTTCCTTATCCAACACATGTGCTGGGCAGCCCCAAATCCGAATGTGGTTGAAACTGGGCTTGCGCCCGGACCACAATTCTATTGGACTATTCAGAATTGATTTAGAAGGTACAAAGTTAAGAAGGTACGCCGCCGTTTCCAAGGCATATCCCCAAAACGAGGTAGCTAATGAAGCATAGCTCATCATCGATCTCACCATTTCTAGCAAAGTCCTATTCCTTCTCTCTGCTACGCCATTCTGTTGGGGAGTACCAGGCGCAGTCAGCTGAGATGTAATCCCATTCTCTAATAAGTATTGCCTAAATTTATTGCTAAGGTATTCGCCACCACGATCAGATCACAGTGACTTGATACTTTTCCCTTGACGGTTCTCTGCTTCCGCCTTAAATTCTCTGAACTTGTCAAAGCATTCAGACTTGCGGCGCATCAAGTAAATGTACCCATATCTTGAGTAATCATCAATAAAAGTAACGAAATACTCAAAACCACCTCTAGCTTGAATAGACATAGGCCCACACAAATCAGAGTGAATCAATTCCAACACATCATTGGACCTATTCCCCTTGGCCTTAAATGGCCTAGAAGTCATCTTCCCTTCCAAACAGGATTAGCAGACTGGAAATGGTTCAACTTGGAGAGAGTCCAAGAAGCCATTACCTACCAGCCTTTGGATCCTCCTTAGATTGACATGACCCAATCTTAGGTGCCAAAGATATGTCTGATTCGACTGAGAAGGTTCCTTTCTCTTGTTTAGTGATGAAGATGCATGAGCCTCAGTCACAGTATGATATGCACTAGTAATAGTATAAAGATTGTTAACAAACATGCCAGAACAGATAAAAGAGTTATTTCTCATAATAACAGCATTGTCATTAAAAATAACTGAATATCCATCCAAAAACAGCTTCGGAACCGAAATTAAATTCTTCCAAAAACTCAGCACGCACAAAAATTTCTTTAATACTAAAACATAATCAGAAAAAGATAAGTGCACATCTCCCACTGCAACTACCGCCACTCGTGTAGCGTTGCCCAAACATGATCAGTGGCTCCTGTATCTACTACCCAAGAACTGGTAGTACAAGCCACAAAGCATGTTTCGACAACTAAAGCAAGAGACGTACTAGGAGTGTCCTTGAGGGGACAATCTGACTTCCAATGTCCTGTCTTGTTGCACTTGAAGCACTTGCCTTTCGGCTTCACCACGCCACCAGAAGGCGCTACCGCTTTGCTCCCACCATTCCCACTGCTCCCACTGGTTCCGCCACTCTTTTTCTGCACTTGCTTTTTCTTCTTCCCGCCTTTCGATGAAGAAGGTCCAGCTTGTACAGAAACATGAGCCTGTGGTCCCCTTCCCATAAGACCCTCCGCTGCAACCAAGTCCGTAAGAAGCTCGGCTAGAGTATAGCCCTTCTTATTCATGATTGCATTCAGGCGGAAGTTCTCATAGGACTTCGGGAGCGAGTGCAGGATGATATCGATCGTGGCATCGCCATCGATATTTCCTCCGAGCACATCTATCTCATTCAGATATTCCATCATCTTGAGAACATGCTCTCGCACAGAAGCTCCCTCTGGCATGACAGACGACATAATCTTCCTCATAGCCTCAAACTGAGCAGCCCTATCTTGCTCACCAAAGAGTTCCTTGAGGTTCAACATCATGTCAGCAGCAGTAGGCATGGTGTGATGCTGCTGTTGCAAAACATTTGACATAGTTGCCAAGATGTAGCAACGAGCCATCTCATCAACTTTATGCCACTTCCGATGAGCCTCCCTTTCCTCTTCAGTGGATTGGGCGCTCAAAGGAGCAGGAGCAGGAGTAGTGAGCACAAACTTGTACTCATCAGCAACAAGGTCAATATCCAGATTTCTCTTTCAGTCCAAATAATTTGGACCAGTAAGCTTGTTTTGATTGAGAATGACCATAAGCGGATTCAATGACATGATGAATAACTGAAATAAATAATTGCAAACACGTAAGCAACAATTCACATAAATATGAAGCATAAAATATGGAAACCTTCAAAACCCATTATTTAATGCAACCTTCGACAACTTAACGAACACACATGCAAGCCACGTTGGGTGGACTTTTACACATATTTCAATTAAGCAGACACCCAGTCATTAATTTCAATTGCACGCCAACCTGTCCTTATGATGAATGAAATTAATAGTCGAAATATTAACACTGGCCATGTGAATTAAAACAGGGACTCCGTTGGAGAGTTATATTAAAATTCACATCTAAGTGATGACCACAATTTAACCCCAAGAACAATCATCCATAATTGACGAACCTACAGATGGGGAAGACACATCGCTTGTAAATAATTTTCTACGGTTATCTCGAAATAATCTTTACCGGTGAGCGTATGAATGACACTATCTGTTAGGGAGGAGACCCCATGGGTCACGCGTATGCCACTCACTTCACCTAAAGGTTAAGTTGTTTGAATAGAAGTCTTATCTAGTAAGCTCGTGAATGCCGCATCCGTTATGGGGAGACTCCCAGGGTCCCGCGAGCGACAAACACCTTGCTTAATGACTAATTGTGGAGGCCAAATGAATTAATTAAAATTCATGTTAAACTCACTTAGTCATTTTTACTTGAAGGTTTTTAACAGCATGCAATAAGAAATAATTAAAATCCTATCATGCTCCTAACACGCAAATCACATAAATCCTAGCATGCTCCTAAAATTCAAAACAAGAGCAATGACAGCTTTCTAAGAATTTATAGCACCTATTCACATGATTTCTAGCATGCCAAAAATTTGATTTAAATCAGCTAGACACATAATCAAATAAACATGTTCTAGCAAAAATTAAATTGGCATCCACAAAGCGATAAATTGAGAAAATTAAAACACATCTATTGCAGCCCCTTAAAACCAACCACTAACAGCCTATCAAAACTATTACATGATTCAGCAAGGTCGTGGATGAACACTCGAATCAACATCTCGCGTAAATCGGGCCATTCACGCAATGTCCGCACCCACCGACGGAAAAGGGCCGAAAACTTCGACTGGATGATTGAATTTGACCCCGCCACAGGTCGATGAACACTCTGATACCAATTGCTGGAACACGCCGATGAGGCGGTCCTTCCCACGGATCGATATCGGATACCAAACACGTACATACATGATTTCGAATAACCCTAAGCATGCTCCTAAAGGACGAACAGAGAATTACCTTGAAAAGGAGGTTTTATTCGATCTGAGCGACCTTCTAGTATGTGTCCCGACCACGCTTGGAAGCCGGATGGACGACGATCCTCCAAACGGTTGAAAGAAGCGGACTGCCCTCGTCTTTCTCGAACCTTCTCGTTACTCTCTCCACGATGGTGGCTGAGTGTCTCATGAAATTGCTAGGATTTAGAACGTGGGAAGTCCCCTCCTTTTATAGAGGTCCTTGGGTCAGATTAGGGATCTGTAACACCCCGCTATTTCATGAAAATCAGAGTACGCGTTTTCGCAAAACCTTTGAATAAAATATTTAATTTGCGAAATACTGATTTAGAGTGTTACCATAAAAACATGACTTGTCTTGAAAACCGTCATTTAACGAAAATAAAATGGTTTAGCGTAATATAAACACCGATTATAAATCGGGTTTGAGTTTGGCAAAACAGTAATAAATAGCGGAAGGCATAATGTAGCCAAAACATGATTAAACATATTTACAAAAACTTCTGAACCGAACGCCCGCTCACTCCTCGGCTCCGACCCTGTGATCTGAAAAAAAAAATATATTAATAATGTGGGGGCGTGAGCACTAATCCACTGTGCTACGCAGAAACTCATACTGAAGTAAACAGTGAAAATAATAACAATATCATGATCCTGGCATAAACATGAACATGACACCGATACTGAATAACCATGATCTGATCTCGTGATAAACATCACCTGACTGATACCTGAACATCTGCCAACATAAATGTCGGACACCATGTGCACACTCTAGTGGGCAGACTAAGGCCACTAGAACCCAGAATGGACCGGCGACCATTCCGAGCGGATACTGAACTGATAATACATACCTCAAACATGGTAGAGTAATTATAATCGTAATACCCTGTCTGAGTCCCCACCTGAACTGCTGATCTGAAAATATAAGTGTTGATTGCCTGCGAAACTGATATATAAACAAATACTAAGTACTATGCTCATACTGATTAAAATAGATGTTAAGATGCTCGACTCGATCTGAATAGTTAACTGGAACCATCTCGGGGTCTAACTTAACTGACAAGAAAAATTGGATTGAACTGGTACTGCTAAACTGAACTGAACTGACTGCACATGACTGATCATGACTGAACTGACTGAACTGAAAATTCAACTGAAATACTGAACTGAACTGACTAACTGACTAGACTGAAAATACTGAACTGATAACTTAACTGATTACACTGAACTGACTAACTGGACCTGGAACTATAACTGAAAAATGAGACTTAAACATGAACCGGGACTAAAACATGAAAATATAGGCTAAACCGGTCCAACCGGTCTGAACTGGGCTGAACTGGTCTGGACCAGACCACATGTAACGCCCCGTTATTTTAATAGAAAAATACCGAATTATTTTTTTCAAAAATCAGAGTTAGTTTTTCGAAAATCAATTTAAAACCTTGTTTAACGGGCGCTACTCAACAACTTCACAAATCAACAGTTAAGTCAACATTTAAACTCGCGGGGAAATACAACCATCCCGATAAACATATCATAACATGCCTCGACAACTATTTAATCATATGAATAATCCCAATTCATAACTCCATAATCATTATTCAAATTCATAGTCTAGCATGCATAAAACCAAATATACGGTTCCGTCTCCAATCTCAGTAATAAACATGTCTGGCAACATGATAAATAATGAATAAACGAGCGGAAGCAGATAAAACAGTTCAATATCAATTATATGACCCGCCTCGCTCGTCTTTCGCCACAACCACCAGCTCAGCCTGAAAAGAGATATAATAGTGGGGGTGAGCGAACACTTGCTCACCGTGGGAAATACCATGCAGTATAATCAATATAAAGACTTAAAATCATAATCGCAGCATGAACACAAATCGACTAGTCTATCCTCCCTAAACACAGCCTATGCTCATGTGACCACACCTAACCCGTCAATACAACAAAGACCGGATTGCCTGTCAATACAACAAAGACAGGAGCAAACTGTCGATACAACAAAGACAGGAGCAAACCGTCGATACACCATCGCGGAGTCAGCTCTCTAAAGGCTAGAGTTAGGCCT